TCCGGAAATCCTTATGGTGAGACAGTAAGGCCTCGATCGTTTTGTAAACGCCCGATCGTGAGCCACGTCGGAGGTGTTTAGCCGGAGACGTGGATGTAGGTATTTCGCCGGCACGTCGCCGGAGGAGCGACTGGAGAGAAAGAGAGAGACTGTCGCTAGCTGTCAATTCAGACAGTAGTTACAGACAACAGCTGGATTCGCCCGAGAGTGCCATAGCTGTCGAGGAAGGACCTTGTTGTCCGACGATGACTGTCGAATAAACGTGTTGAACTGACTCAAGTGATTTCCCTGTTCTTGAGGTGAATCCAGATAGTAGGCTCCCATAAAAGAGTAGTGACTACAGTTTCTTCTCCAGCTGCTATGGTAGCCCGTGACCATGCCGAGTCGGACGCACGGGGAGAGCTGCGTCGTAACTTTCGGGTGACGGCGCAGCTTTCGGTCTGCAGGGAATTTAGTTAGGCTTCTGGGGTTGGGTTCCCCTAATTAAATTCCTCCAAAGATGAGGGGTGGTGTACGGGCTCCTCCTCGAGGGAGAGCTAAACGACACCGGGCTCTCCCAGCGGGACTGCCAGTACCTTGCCCGGCACTATTGGTTTGATCTGACCGAGGAGGAGCAACGGCCCTTCCGGGCATATGCCAGGAGTCTTCTGACGGGAAGGCGGGGCACAGTGCCCGAACCCACCTTATCCCGGCACTTCCGGTTTAAGCCGCCTCGCCTGGGAGCCTTCGCCGGCAGTTATCTGCGGCTGCTGCGCGACATGCAGTCGGGGGAACCGCACGCGCTCACCGTTCCCTGGGGCCAGGCCCAGATCCAGATCGATCTGCCGCGGTTGGACCCCATCGGGGCCGCCGCAGGCCAGGAGGCTCGCCGGGAGTATGTCTGGAGGTTGATGCGGGAACCGGGACTCGCCCCGCCCAGCGAACGCACCCCGAGACCGATCCTGATAGCGGGGAGGCCATCCTTCCCGAAGGCTCTCGGCCCAGGGCCGCACCGTGAAGATTTGAAATGTTATATCATGTCGCCTTTTTAATACAAAAGTGGCTATTTCCTTTGATGCATACTGATACGGTTTCGTTCTTGAGTCTTGAGGGGAGGAAATTGACTTTGTGGCTGTGGTTGTGATTTTATTTCTTTTTCGGGCATTGTTTGATGGGCCAGATCTGGCGTTCTGAGGTTTGGTTGGGAGGTTTCCAAGGGGTAGAGCTTTCTTATAGGCCGATCGAGGGTTTCACCGGTGCCCGTCTTGATAGTGCATGATCGTGCGTTTTCAGGTTTCGAATCGTTTTTCAGAGACATCACCCTACACAAGGGCCAGTAGGCGCGATCTGCGTTCGAAGCCTCCAGGAGGCAGATGTCTCCAACTTTCAGCGGCCTGGCCGCGATTGGTATTTCATATTGGTATATTGGTATATTTATCAAGGGTAAGACGGGAATTGGCAGGATTTTTTATCGGCTTGACCACCATGAGGGGGCGGATTCTCGGGAGCTCCCAAGAAGGCTATCGGGGGTTGCCGTCATCATTGGCCTCTGTCTCTCTACTAACGAATCTCGCCGAAAATTGCTGCAGCCGCGAAGGGTAAAGATTTTCCGGAGAACCTATGGAGTGAGAGCGGGGGTACGGGAAGGTGGGGGAACGGGGGAGTGGGGAGACGGGAGAGTAGGGAAACGGGGGAGTGGGGAGACGGGAGATAAAGGGAAACGGAAAAGCGGGGAAACGGGAACGTGGGGAAACGGGAAAGCGGGGAAGCGGGAGATTGGGGAAACGGGAAAGTGGGGAAACGGGAAAGCGGGGAAACGGGAAAGCGGGGAAACGGGAAACGGGAAAGCGGGAAAGCGGGGAAACGGGAAAGCGGGGAAACGGGAAAGCAAGGAAACGGGACGCTCACCAAGAGCACGCGCGACCAAAGCAAGCGCACCCGGAGCCAGCGCACTCGGAGCCAGCGCACTCGGAGCCAGCGCACTCGGAGCCAGCGCACTCGGAGCTAGCGCATGTGTAGTGAGTCTAGCGATACCGAGTCGCCGCGAAGCGGCGACCGGGAGCGCTGGTTTATATATATAAAAACGTATGTCTGTCTGTCTGTCTGGTGTCACCTATAAACTCGAAAACGGCTGAACCGATCGCCGTGAAAATTTAGGAGCGTGTTCTGGGCGATCCAGCGGTGGTTATAGGGGGGTCAGTTCTTCGATGCAATGAGTCCTTCTACCTTAAAAAAATTATTTGAGTGCTCCACCCACGAAAATACGAAAACTCGGAAAAAATTGAAAAATCGCAAATTCGCAAAATTCACAAACGTCTGAACCGATCGCCGCAAAAATTCAGGGGTGGGTTCTCGGGAGTTGTAGAAAAGCGATGAGGGGGTCGTCGTGCCCGTATGATGAGGATGAGCTCTTTTTCCCTTGGAAATTGAGTACCGGGTCCCTCACCGGAAATCGTTCGGCGGGAGTTTCCAGAGTTCTCCAGAATTTTCGTGATTCCTTCACATAATCTATAAATCTGTCTGTATGTCCCCTATAGACTCGGAAACAGCTGAACC